CATCACGGCCCGGTCACATGACACTGTCAGGTGACACAAAGGTGTGCTGACTCATCACGGCCCAGTCACATGACGCCGTCAGGTGACACAAAGATGTGCTGACTCATCACGGCCCGGTCACATGACGCCGTCAGGTGACACAAAGGTGTGCTGACTCATCACGGCCCGGTCACATGACACTGTCAGGTGACACAAAGGTGTGCTGACTCATCACGGCCCGGTCACATGACGCTGTCAGCTGACACAAAGGTGTGCTGACTCTGATCAGAAACCTACAGCAACCAATGACAGCGAGCGGCCAGGCGTCTCCTCAGCCTTCAGTTCAACCACGACAGTCTGCCTCCATGTTTGTTTCTTTCCGAAGTCACGTGGTCTAACTATAGATTTCAGTGTCACGGAGGTCTCCAGAGTCTCCTCTGTGGTCCTGCTCCCTCCAGGACAGGTACTTCTAAACATCCTGTTGCGGATTCTCTGATCTGAGACAGGTTGAAGAGAACCTTCAGGAAGTGCTGAAACTGATGTGGACCATGTTCTTCCATCTGTGAGCCGGGACCAGCTGAGGTGGCAGGTCTGGACTGGAGCATAGACTTCTTCCCATCTCGTACTGTGAGGTTCCTGTGTGGGATTAATTCATTAGAGAGGTCTGACAGGAAGGAGCACCTGTCCAGGGAGCAGCTCTGCCTTTTTCTATCCAACTGATCAGCCTTTAGTCCAGGAGTCCTGGTTCACCTTCCTCTTTGGACTTAGTTCTAGGGAGGAGCTCATCAGCAGGTTTTTGGATTTAAAAAAGTTTTGTTTGGCAACCTGGCAGCGACACGAAGAAGAAGCTAAATTCAGTTCAGATACACCTGCCCACAGTCCAGAGCCTGGAGTCCAGAGCCCACATTCCAGAGCCCAGAGCCCACAGTCCACAGTCCAGAGCCCACAGTCCACAGCCCAGAGCCCAGAGCCCACAGTCCACAGTCCAGAGCCCAGAGCCCAGAGTCCACAGTCCACAGTCCACTGTCCACAGTCCAGAGTCCACATTCCAGAGCCCAGAGCCCAGAGCCCACAGTCCACAGTCCAGAGCCCACAGTCCACAGTCCAGAGCCCACTGTCCACAGTCCAGAGTCCACATTCCAGAGCCCAGAGCCCAGAGTCCACAGTCCAGAGCCCACAGTCCACAGTCCACAGTCCACAGTCCACAGTCCACAGTCCAGAGTCCACAGTCCACAGTCCAGAGCCCAGAGCCCAGAGCCCAGAGCCCACAGTCCACAGTCCAGAGCCCAGAGCCCAGAGCCCAGAGCCCACAGTCCACAGTCCAGAGCACAGAGCCCACAGTCCACAGTCCACAGCCCAGAGTCCACAGCCCAGAGTCCACAGCCCATAGACCATAGTCCACAGTCCATAGTCCACAGTCCATAGTCCACAGTCCACAGTCCAGAGCCCACAGTCCAGAGTCCAGAGTCCAGAGTCCATAGTACATAGTCCAAAGCCCAGAGCCCACAGTCCATTGTCCATAGCCCACTGTCCACAGTCCAGAGTCCACAGTCCAGAGCCCAGAGCCCAGAGTCCACAGTCCAGAGCCCAGAGTCCACAGTCCACAGTCCAGAGCCCAGAGCCCACAGTCCACAGTCCACAGCCCAGAGTCCACAGCCCAGAGTCCACAGCCCATAGACCATAGTCCACAGTCCATAGTCCACAGTCCATAGTCCACAGTCCAGAGCCACAGTCCAGAGCCCAGAGTCCAGAGCCCAGAGTCCAGAGTCCAGAGTCCATAGTACATAGTCCAAAGCCCAGAGCCCACAGTCCATTGTCCATAGCCCAGAGTCCAGAGTCCAGAGTCCAGAGTCCAGAGCCTAGAGTCCGGAGTCCGGAGTCCAGAGCCTACAGCCCAGAGCCCAGAGCCTAGAGTCCGGAGTCCAGAGCCTACAGCCTAGAGTCCACAGTCCAGAGCCTAGAGTCCACAGTTCAGAGCCCAGAGCCCACAGTCCAGAGCCCACAGTCCAGAGTCCAGAGTCCATAGTCCAAAGCCCACAGTCCAGAGTCCATAGTCCAAAACCCACAGTCCAGAGCCTAGTCCAAAGTCCATAGTCCAAAGCCCACAGTCCAGAGTCTAGTCCAGAGTCCAGAGGCCAGAGCCCAGAGTCCAGAGGCCAGAGGCCAGAGCCCACAGTCCAGAGCCTAGAGCCTAGAGCCTAGAGCCTAGAGTCTAGAGTCCAGAGTCTAGAGTCCAGAGCCCACAGTCCAGAGCTTAGAGTCTAGAGTCCAGAGCCTGGAGTCTATAGCCTAGAGTCCACAGTCCAGAGCCTAGTCCATAGTCCGTAGTCCATAGTCCATAGTCCAGAGTCTAGAACACAGAGTCCAGAGCCCAGAGTCCACAGCCCAGAGTCCATAGTCCACAGTCCAGAGCCCACAGTCCAGAGCCCAGAGCCTAGAGTCCAGAGCCTAGAGTCCAGAGTCCAGAGTCCAGAGTCCAGAGTCCATAGTACATAGTCCAAAGCCCAGAGCCCACAGTCCATTGTCCAGAGCCCAGAGTCAAGAGTCCAGAGCCTAGAGTCCACAGTCCACAGTCCAAAACCTAGTGTCCGGAGTCCGGAGCCTACAGCCCAGAGCCCAGAGCCTAGAGTCCGAAGTCCAGAGCCTACAGCCTAGAGTCCACAGTCCAGAGCCTAGAGTCCACAGTTCAGAGCCCAGAGCCCACAGTCCAGAGCCCACATTCCAGAGTCCAGAGTCCAGAGTCCAGAGTCCAGAGTCCAGAGTCCATAGCCCAAAGCCCACAGTCCAGAGTCCAGAGTCCAGAGTCCAGAGTCCAATTCCCACAGTCCAGAGCCTAGTCCATAGTCCAAAGCCCACAGTCCAGAGTCCATAGTCCAAAACCCACAGTCCAGAGCCTAGTCCAAAGTCCATAGTCCAAAGCCCACAGTCCAGAGTCTAGTCCAGAGTCCAGAGGCCAGAGCCCAGAGTCCAGAGGCCAGAGGCCAGAGGCCAGAGGCCAGAGCCCACAGTCCAGAGCCTAGAGCCTAGAGCCTAGAGCCTAGAGTCTAGAGTCCAGAGTCTAGAGTCCAGAGCCCACAGTCCAGAGCTTAGAGTCTAGAGTCCAGAGCCTGGAGTCTATAGCCTAGAGTCCACAGTCCAGAGCCTAGTCCATAGTCCGTAGTCCATAGTCCATAGTCCAGAGTCTAGAACACAGAGTCCAGAGCCCAGAGTCCACAGCCCAGAGTCCATAGTCCACAGTCCAGAGCCCACAGTCCAGAGCCCAGAGCCTAGAGTCCAGAGCCTAGAGTCCAGAGTCCAGAGTCCAGAGTCCAGAGTCCATAGTACATAGTCCAAAGCCCAGAGCCCACAGTCCATTGTCCAGAGCCCAGAGTCAAGAGTCCAGAGCCTAGAGTCCACAGTCCACAGTCCAAAACCTAGTGTCCGGAGTCCGGAGCCTACAGCCCAGAGCCCAGAGCCTAGAGTCCGAAGTCCAGAGCCTACAGCCTAGAGTCCACAGTCCAGAGCCTAGAGTCCACAGTTCAGAGCCCAGAGCCCACAGTCCAGAGCCCACATTCCAGAGTCCAGAGTCCAGAGTCCAGAGTCCAGAGTCCATAGCCCAAAGCCCACAGTCCAGAGTCCAGAGTCCAGAGTCCAGAGTCCAATTCCCACAGTCCAGAGCCTAGTCCATAGTCCGTAGTCCATAGTCCATAGTCCAAAGCCCACAGTCCAGAGTCTAGTCCATAGTCCAGAGTCCAGAGTCCAGAGTCCAGAGTCCGGAGTCCGGAGCCTGGAGTCCAGAGTCCGGAGCCTGGAGTCCAGAGTCCAGAGCCCAGAGCCCAGAGCCCAGAGCCCCTCACACATGTTGAGCTGTACTTAGACCTGATCCAACGCATCATCTATCTGCAGAATTACATTTCCTCAAGGCAGAAAATACATATGACCTCTGGACGCTACCTAGAACCGTATGATCATGTTTTAAAGCTCCCTGACCAGGTGTTAATGTACCAACTCATTCATCATGTTCTCCAGAGGTCTTCTCTCTCCTCCACCACAGCGTTAACATCTCAGCGTTGAAACTGAGTGTCTCTTCGTGACCATCAGAGCAGCTAGCCACCGACGAGTGACATGAGACAGTCATGGATCCAGGAGGTCTCAACAGATCCAGGGCCGACAGGATGAGTTTAGGAGGTTGTTCAGGTCAGGGTCACTGCGCAGGATCAGGTATAAGTCTGAACTCACACAACTAGACCACCAGAAAGTATTCCTGCTGACAGTACTGCAACCTGCTCTGTGTAGTACCTGATGAGTCCTGATCACAACCCGGCCCCCGTCCCACTCGGCTCATAGTGTCTCCAGCTCTGTCTGTCACACAGGTCGAAGATGAAGACCCGCTCTGACTACAGGAGCCTGGGAACTCCAAAAAGGCGCACACTTTTCTGCACTTTGGAGTGAGGCCGGGCCACGTTCAGACCTGAAACGCAGGGTTGGTTGTTTGTTTGGTCGCTTGTTTGGTCAGCAGCAGAGAGCGATTGCTGTGTTCACACCTGCCGCACCAAGACAGGTGTGAATCCACTGACCTCTGCTGGAGTCCCTGTGCACCTGGACTCAGGTGAGCGGCTCAGCCATCACAGGACTGGAGGTCTGAGTTCTGTGAATAGAGGGGGAAGAAAAGATTCTGGATTGTTCTGTGAATCTAGACAAGGCTGTAGGTTTGTTTTCGTGTGTGTGTGTGTGTGTGTGTGGGGGGGGGGGGTTCCCTCAATGTAGCCTAACAGACGAAGCACAGGGCAAAGACAGACTCTGGTCCTGATTCAGACATTCCTCAGTCTGATGTGTTTCTGCTCAGAGAGACGAGGCTTCGGCCAAACTGACACCACAAACACAAGAAGAAGAAGTGCCCCCCCCCTTCCTCTCTTTTCAGGCCTTTTCTTCTCCTCTGGCTCCCAGGGGGGGGGGCATATGAAAAAGAAGCAAAAGCATTGAGCCAATTAAAGTCTTTAAGGCGACAGATTCAAACTAAGAAGCTTTATTCACACCGACGCCTGGGAACGAGCGAGACACGCCGGCTCGCTCTCTGTCCTCGCTCCTTTAAAATGATCGATTGATCGTTGGAGGAATGTTCAACCCCTCCGAAGCATGAAACATAAAGAATAAACAAACCACTAAACCCCGCTGATCAGCTGATCCACATTTATAGCTCATTAGGAACTGATCCTGGATCATCAACACATCACAGGGCCCTGCCAACCGTGCCGGTCTCTGATTGGACAGTCAGTGAACCCATGTGACTGACAGGTGAGGTGTGGGTACAGGTAGAGCTCAGTGGGAGGTTTGTCAAGTGGGAGGAAGTGGGACAGGAAGGGAGGGATTGTTGGTTTCAAAATAAAAGCACAAGAAACAGACAACAGCGTTGGGATTTCTTTATTAATATTAATGTTAATTATTAATTGAATCTGAAATAAACAGCTGATACGTGACGGATCAATCAATCTGTTATCCTTCACTTTAAAGTGATTATTATTGACTGACGATTAGTTTCTTTTAAAGTTTGCTGTGATATAAAAGTTAATGTTAAATTTATCAGCTCAGATCATCATACCTTTATTCTGAAGGCTCGTGTTTTTATTTTGAAGGCCGGGACCGGAAGCGGTGTGCTTCCTGTTGTTGAACTTGACCCCCCCCCCCCACCAGTCTCAGTCTCTGTGTGAGGGTGTGTGGAGGACCGGACCAGCGGGGAACGGAGCCGCTGCTCGCCGACAGACAGCCGCAGAGAGCCGGGGAGGTCCGGAGCAGAGAGCCGGGGCAGAGCTGGAGCTGCTGGAGAGTCACACCGGAGTCACACCGGAGTCACACCGGAGTCACCGCCGGACTTGAACTGATCGTTGTTTCGTGTTTATAAACTTGTGGGATTAAACGCAGAACAAGACGAGAGAGCTCCGGGACCGGGTCTGGGTCCGGGTCTGGATTTAGGCTATCTTCATGGTCTGCACACACACAGGAGGTCCGCTGTGATCCGGGTCCGCCGTGCTGTCCTCTCTCTGATAGTTGTTCTAGTGCCGGACCATGGTGGGGGAGATGGAGGGGAAGGAGAAGCCGAGACCCAGTCCGGATTATCTGATGCAGCTCATGAACGACAAGAAGCTGATGAGCAGTCTCCCGAACTTCTGCGGGATCTTCCAGCACCTGGAGAGACTGCTGGACGAGGGTGAGCCCCGACCCGACCTGACCCGACTGGACCTGACCGGACCCCTCTGTCTGTCCCAGTCTGTCATATAGCAGATATAAGTGAAGTTCCTGCAGTTCGAGTTTTACTTTGGTAAAAGTAGATTTGAGGTGTAGGGTAGAGTGGGGTTACTTAATCAATTATCATCAATTATCACTTTAATATGTGCAAATTACAGATAAAAGAAACTACAGCTAGCTGGTTAAAAGCAGGAGGATTACAGACCTGTGTTGTAGAAATAAACCTGCCTGATGTTATTCTCAGACTTTTAAACAGTCTGCCAGCTAGCTGGAAATGTGAGCTTCTAACCTCAGACTTTCTGATAGTGAAGCTGCTGGTTGGCTGACGGGCGTCTTACCTCAAACATACTAATCTAGCATTTGACTACTCAAACTTATCTAAAGGCTCCCGTTAAACTAAATATACATATATAAATTAAACACTAAAAAAAATTGCTGAGATCAACTCAGGTCAGAATGGCTTTGATCAAATAACTTAAAACACTGCGATGAATCAGAGGAAATGTTTAGTTCAGTGAGACGAGAAGCAGCCAGAAGACAACAAATAGTGACATTTTGTGTTTTTTGGTAGAATTACCGTGGGGGGGGGCACAGATTCACCTTAAAGGAGCTGGAGGCAAATTTAACAGTTTCTGTCTGCTGACTGTAAAAATCAGCTGAAAACTGAGAGAACCTTTAAACTAAAAGAGCTGATGGTGAAAGAGCAGTTCAAACTCTCTTTAAATCTCACAGTCTCGTCTCTGTTACAGCACCGTAAGTGGACCAGAACACCCTAAAACTCACTTCATACGCCATCAAGGTTTCTATAGAAATCACGAGCTGCCATCATGTGTTAGGAAACAGGTGAAGACACTAACCAGACAGTGGGGGGGTCAAAAACATGTGGAGCTGATAGAGAGAAGAAGAAGAAGAGAGGCCACACTAACTGGAAACATCTGCCAGTGTTTGTTTATTCTACAGAGAGACGAGAATGTTGTTTTAAATGCTCAGAAAATTCTACAGAGTTTGGTTGGTGGGGCTCAGGTGTTTCCTGAAGACGTCCTCAGTGGACAGTTGGTCTTAAAAGATTTATTGTTGGAGCTGTAGTTTCCAGCAGCACCTGAACGCACCGGACTGTATCCACTTCTTCTTCTTCTCTCTGGTCATGTATGTCTCTCTCAGTTTCACTCAGTGCAGCTATTCATCACTTAATTGGTCTAAAAATGAATTCAGAAGCTAAAATGAAATGAAGTGTGGAAGCAAAATCAATTTACCCATAATTCCCTGTTGCTGGCGTCGGTGCTGTAATGGGCTCTGCAGGCAGACAGAGTGATTAAAGAACAGCTTCATTAAGAAGTGCAACCCAGAGACGTGAAGGACGAATGTTTCTGAGCTGGAACAAAGACGCCTACGTCTTTAAAATACTGTTTTACAGGTGAACTCTTCTGTTCCTCTGTGATCCAGTCCTCACAGGGACCACATACTGTCTCTCCACTCCAGCCACGGTCCCTGTTCCCCCCTTCATTGCCATTTTCTACCCGTCCACCAGACGGTCACCTGATTGCCCCGCCCACTTACACACCTGTTCCCTCTCCTAAGCTCTGCACATAGTGGCCCGGTTCTATCCGTTCCCTGCCAGACCATCAGAGTTGCAATGTTGCCTTGTGCCTTTGCTTTCAAACCACCAGAACCTACAGAGTCCGGTCTGGACCTGCTGGACCTGATATGAAGAGGGCCCTCAGATAAGATTTAGTTCTCTATGAATAAAATTCTCCCAGCTATGCCTCCTATCAGTCGGGTCTCTCTCGGGTTTATCTGATGGCATCTTCATTCTGGGTCAGAACCTCTCCTCCCTGCTGAAAGCAGTCCGGCCTCAGTGCTGCCCCCCCTCTTGAGTTGTCTGATGGTTCGTCACATTCCCTTTGAGCCAGCTGAGAGTCCTTCTTCACTTCCCTGAACTGAGTTTTTGTTCTTCAGAAACTGCAGTCCTCCTGAAACCTCCTGCTGCTTCAGGACTGAGACAACCGGCCTGTTTTCTACCAGCAGGTTCTTTGGTTTCTGAACAAAACCTCGATCCACCACCTCCACAAAGGAGGTTAAGAACATGGTTCATTCTAAGTCCGTGTCTCCAGCCTCCCCCGAGATGCTGGAGGTATTCTGGAGGCCTTCAGCCAGACGTTCCCGCCTCATCCTGAGTGTGGATGAACTAGTCCATCAGGTTATCACCGCCAATTACTACTACAGCTTTACAACGGAAACCAATGACCTACATATCCAAAAAGGTTGAAGTCAAGGGCACTGAAGACGAACGAGTCGGTGGACATTGATTGGTTCGTTAGTGCTGCTGGCTGTTAGAACGACAGTCGTGGTCGTCGGAGTCACCTGAGTCTGAGCGACCGTCGTTCTCACATGAGGCCACATGTGAGCGTTTGGTCTCCTGAGAAGAGATAAAGGCCAGCGCTGAAGGTGGAGGAGAGGTGGTGTCTCAAACCTCTCCCCCTGTTGAGAGATGGTTTCTCTGCGCTTCTCTTTCAAACCGTCTGTCCTCCCTATTCAGAATATGTTATACATGTAAGTTATGCAATATTTTGATATTAAGGATCCTGGACTCTGATTGGCTGGACACGGTGGTCATCGTGTTCGTGTTACGTTCACAACACTAGATCAGGGGAATTCAATTAAAATTCAAAGAGGTCCATTTAGAGAACAGAAGTTAATGAAGCAAGGTCAACCGAACATCAACTTGCGTTATCATTCAGTGGCCTTCCATAACGTTTAGCCTAGCTGGACCTACGTGTGTTTTTACTCAACAACTGACCCATAGACTGTATTTAAAGGTCAAATCAGATCCTATCTCAACAATATTTACTGATAAATAATAACTATGCTAAGAATAAATTCTAAATTTAAGTAATCTAAAGGCAGCATTTAAAAAACATTTTGGAAATGTGCATCTGAAAATAAAATTTTTTTATTTGTTGCGTAATTTCAGAAAAAATAAAACAAAAATTGTAGCTTTGAGTGATTGAAGTTCAGTCTCAACCAATTTTGCAATTAACACTCTCACACTTTAATGCCTCCTCTTTCTTTCCCTCTTATATAGCTCCCACTTCCCTACTTTCTCTTGTCCAGTGAGAAACCTGAGCTCTGGCTACGATTGGAGATCCATGAGATACTCTGGTTTTGAACCTCCTGTGGGAAGAATGTACATGTGAGAATCTGTACGTTCTTGGTTAAAAGCCATGTGAAGTATCTTTCATCTCATCTCTTCCTCTGTGTATCTCACTCGCGGACTCGGGGCCGTTAACGGCTCTGGCAATGCTTCTCGGACTGCACAGATTTGATTGGCTGAGCAGCATCACATGAGATGACTGGAGTACATGCGATTGGTCTGTGAGTTTCCTGTGCCGCTAAACCGGTACAATAAATGCTAGAAAAGCTGCGCAGGATAAAATAGAAACACTCCATCATGAGATATTGATTCTCAATAATAGATCGGCTGTACGTCCGGGTCCGGTCTGGTTTCAGGGCTCACAAACTTAACCGATTTCTAATGAGTCTGTTCAGGTCCCTCAGCAGTAAACATGTTTAGTTAGTTTAGTTTAACCTGCAGAGGTTTTGCTCAAAACAGTTTAGAGATTACTGCTGTTACTGGAAGTGTGAAGTCCAGAGCTCTCCGGGCTCCTGGTTCCCTCGGACAGAGCAGTCGGGGCTCCTGCTTCCCTCAGACAGAGCACTATGGGCTCCTCCTTCCCTCAGACAGAGCGGTCGGGGCTCCTGGTTCCCTCGGACAGAGCAGTCGGGGCTCCTCCTTCCCTCAGACAGAGCACTCCGGGCTCCTGGTTCCCTCAGACAGAGCGGTCGGGGATCCTGGTTCCCTCGGACAGAGCACTCCGGGCTCCTCCTTCCCTCAGACAGAGCGTCCGGGCTCCTCCTTCCCTCAGACAGAGCACTCCGGGCTCCTCCTTCCCTCAGACAGAGCACTCTGGGCTCCTGGTTCCCTCAGACAGAGCGGTCGGGGCTCCTCCTTCCCTCAGACAGAGCACTCCGGGCTCCTCCTTCCCTCAGACAGAGCGGTCGGGGCTCCTGGTTCCCTCAGACAGAGCACTCCGGGCTCCTCCTTCCCTCAGACAGAGCACTCTGGGCTCCTGGTTCCCTCAGACAGAGCGGTCGGGGCTCCTCCTTCCCTCAGACAGAGCACTCCGGGCTCCTGGTTCCCTCAGACAGAGCGGTCGGGGCTCCTCCTTCCCTCAGACAGAGCGGTCGGGGCTCCTCCTTCCCTCAGACAGAGCGGTCGGGGCTCCTGGTTCCCTCAGACAGAGCGGTCGGGGCTCCTGGTTCCCTCAGACAGAGCACTCCGGGCTCCTCCTTCCCTCAGACAGAGCACTCTGGGCTCCTGGTTCCCTCAGACAGAGCGGTCGGGGCTCCTGGTTCCCTCAGACAGAGCACTCCGGGCTCCTGCTTCCCTCGGACAGAGCACTCTGGGCTCCTCCTTCCCTCGGACAGAGCGGTCGGGGCTCCTGGTTCCCTCGGACAGAGCGGTCGGGGCTCCTGGTTCCCTCAGACAGAGCGGTCGGGGCTCCTGGTTCCCTCGGACAGAGCACTCCGGGCTCCTCCTTCCCTCGGACAGAGCACTCCGGGCTCCTGGTTCCCTCAGACAGAGCGGTCGGGGCTCCTGGTTCCCTCAGACAGAGCACTCCGGGCTCCTGGTTCCCTCAGACAGAGCACTCCGGGCTCCTGGTTCCCTCAGACAGAGCGGTCGGGGCTCCTGGTTCCCTCAGACAGAGCACTCCGGGCTCCTGGTTCCCTCAGACAGAGCGGTCGGGGCTCCTGGTTCCCTCAGACAGAGCACTACGGGCTCCTGGTTCCCTCAGACAGAGCGGTCGGGGCTCCTGCTTCCCTCGGACAGAGCACTCTGGGCTCCTCCTTCCCTCGGACAGAGCACTCCGGGCTCCTCCTTCCCTCAGACAGATCACTCTGGGCTCCTGGTTCCCTCAGACAGAGCGGCCGGGGCTCCTGGTTCCCTCGGACAGAGCGGGCGGGGCTCCTGGTTCTTTATTTCTGTTTTAATCTTTACTTTAAACAGACAATGGCGTAGCTCGGCTGTGAGCTGATGTTGTGACTGGTGACATCAGAGAAGAAGTGGGACACTGGTCAGAGAAGCTACTTGTTGTCTGCGTCGTCAGCAGGAATTCATTTCCCAGTTTGCTCCATTTTACCGAGCAGCGTGACAACCTCATGGTCACTGTGGTGACAGCGAGCCAGCCTCCATGTTAGTTCAGACAGGAATACTGTGACAGTTGTTTGGCTTGCCAACACTGACTCTCTCAGTTTCAGCAGTTGAGTCAGAGACCCGGGTGTACGCCATGCTAGCTGACATGGGAAGGGGACTGAAACAGTTATCGGGCTGATGGGAACCACAGCGTCACATTATAACACTGTGCTGTTTAGTTTAGAGACGTGAAGTCAGAGGTTTCCCTAATATCTAAATAACGTGGTAGAGATAAACAGCTGGAACATGTTATTATAGTTGTGTTAATGTGTGTGTTTCAGAGATCAGCCGTGTGAGGAAGGACATGTACATCGACACTCTGAACGGCTCAGAGAGGATCAGCGAGCTGCCGGACGCCGTCGGTCCAAACGTCCAGCTGCAGGAGAAACTCTACGTCCCCACCAAGGAGCATCCTGATGTAAGCACTAACAGGATTTATATTGACAGGTTTACTGATTATTAGTGATTCATCTTTGTGTGTTGAGGAGTCACATTGAAGCTAAACCACCTCAAAATATAACTAGACATTAACATGGACCCCCCCCTCGTCCTACATGAGACCACGCCCCCTGGAACATCCCTACTCTGAAGCCAATCTGGGTCACATGATGTAAAGCGAGCCCCAAAAAACCCTTTCCCCATAGACCTACCTATACTAATAAACGTTACTTAAACATGTCGTATAATAATAAACTCCAATACTTATAAACTTTATTTAAACATATCCTATAATAATAAACTCCTAGACTATTTCTCAGTCTGCATTCTTGTCTGTTTTTGTGTTCTTGTAAAATGTCATCAGTCTGCAGCCCTAGTACTGTTCCAATTCAAAAGTCAAATTCAAACATCTAGCCAAGTACAGTCAAATAACCTGATGTGTTCTCGCTCCGCCCGTTTTACCCAGCATGCATCAGGTGGTGATCGACAGATGTCAGCGAAAACTTTATAATGCCAGCTGATTAGCAAGTCATTGGTGACTGATCAATGATTACTGAGAGTTTGATGATGCTGCGTTTGAGTGCTGTTGGATTTTCCAGAAGCCAGCTGATCGGCTCAATGAGGGGGATACTGGCTCATTGATTGGCTGGTTGTCACCGTAACCAGAGTGTGATCTCTCTCTCCCAGTTTAACTTTGTGGGGAGGATTCTGGGGCCTCGAGGTCTGACCGCGAAGCAGCTGGAGGCGGAGACAGGATGTAAGATCATGGTGAGAGGGAGGGGCTCCATGAGAGACAGGAAAAAGGTAACGCAAGCTCACACGCACACACACACCTACGCACTTGTGTACCTGTGTACTTTTAGTACACTTTTACTTTTAGTTTATATTTCACCAAGAACGGTTAACATTCCCAGAAGTTTTATTGACACTCCCATTTTACCCAGGCTGCATCGGGTGGTAACTTGTCTGAACTAGCCGGCGCAGATATTCCAGCATTCATTTTAGCATTCAAGCGAGTGGCAGGTAGCGGGAGAGAAAGACGCCAACAGAACATTACTTACTATTTTTTTTTATGTTTTTTATCACTAAAGCAAGAAATAAGCTTTGGAGATTATAAAGATTGGCAGTTTTTGGAAAAAAAGGCAGAAAAACTAAGCAAGATGAGCATAAAATTGTCTTGTATGCAGATGATGTTTTGTTGTTCCTCACTAATTCTAGCACCTCTCTGCCAGAACTGATTTTGTTTGTTAATAGATTCAGGAGTTTTCCAGGTTATAATATTAATTTTGGGAAGTCAGTTGAACTATCAATAGACAGACTAAGAGAGAATAAACAAAATATTCAATTCCAGATAAATAGAGATGGTCTCAAATCTCTTGATATCTTTGTCCTGGATGAGTTGAAGCAGTTAACCAAACATAATACATTACCAGTAATAGCAAAGATTAAGAATGACTTACAAAGATGGTCTGTGCTTCGGCTCTCTATTATTTGTAGGATTGCATTGATTAAAATGAATGTATTACCAAGAATATTGTATCCTATAACAAAATGTTTTAGAAATTTGCACAGATATCTGAATTCATATGGGATTAAAAAAAAAAGACCAATATTTAAATTGGAAAAACTGCAGCTCTCTGTATCTAAAGGAGGCCTCTCCATGTCCAACTTCAATTCTGTACGAATGGGCTGCTGAATGAAGACATATGTTATACTGGATGAAAGAGGATTCTGGAATTGTGCTGGAAGATTTAGAGATGACAGAGAATCCCCATCCCATCTTGCACCTGCGGTAATAAAAACGTCACTTTCCTTCCTCATGCCTGGACAAGGGATTTGTGGTGGTTTTGTGTCTCTGTGGTGGTTTTGTATCTTGGTGCTGGTTCTGTGTCTTGGTGGTGGGTCTGTGTCTTGGTGGTGTTTTTGTCTCTTGGTGGTGATTCTGTGTCTTGGTGGTGGGTGTGTGTCTTGGTGGTGTTTTCGTCTCTTGGTGGTGGTTTTGTGTCTTGGTGGTGGTTTGTCTCTCTGTGGTGGATTTGTGTCTCTGGTGGTTCTGTGTCTTGGTGGTGTTTTTGTCTCTTAGTGGTGGGTCTCTGACTCAGTGGTGGTTCTGTGTTTCTGCGGGGGGGTTGTGTCTTGATGGTTCTGTTTCTCTGTCATGATTTTCTGTCTCCTGCTGGTGATTTTGTGTCTCGGTGGTAGTTTTGTGTCTTAGTGGTGTTTTTGTGTCTAAGTGATGGTTTTGTGTCTCAGTGGTGGTTCTGTGTCTCGGTGGTGATTTGTGTCTTGGTAGTGGTTTGTCTCTCTGTGGTGGGTTTGTGTCTCTGTGGTGATTCTGGATCTTGGTGGTGGTTTTGTGTCTAAGTGATGGTTTTGTGTCTCAGTGGTGGTTTTGTGTCTTGGTGGTGGTTTTGTGTCATAGTAGTGGTTCTGTGTCTCAGTGGTGGTTTAGTGTCTTGGTGGTGGTTTGTCTCTCTGAGTTGGATTTGTGTCTCTGTGAGGGTTCTGTGTCTCAGTGGTGGTTTTGTGTCTTAGTGGTGGTTTGTCTCTCTGTGGTGGATTTCTGTCTCTGTCGTGGTTCTGTGTCTCAGCTGTGGTTTTGTGTCTTAGTGGTGTTTTTGTGTCTCTGTGTTGGTTCTGTGTCCTGGTGGTGGTTCTGAGTCTTAGTGGTGGTTGTGTGTGTCTTGGTGGTTCTGTGTCTTGGTGGTGGTTCTGAGTCTTAGTGGTGGTTTTTTGTCTTAGTGGTGGTTTGTCTCTCTGTGGTGGAATTGTGTTTGTTTTGGTGGTGGGTTTGGGTCTTGATGGTGATTCTGTTTCTCTGTGGAGGTTCTGTGTCTTGGTGGTGATTCTGTGTCTTAATGGTGTTTTTTTGTCTCTTGTTGGTAGTTCTGTGTCTTGGTGGTGATTTTCAGTCTCCTGCTGTTGGTTTTGTGTCTCGGTGGTAGTTTTGTGTCTTAGTAGTGTTTTTGTATCTCTGTGGTGGTTCTGTGTGTCTTGGTGGTGGTTCTGTGTCTCAGTAGTGGTTTTGTGTCTTAGTGATGGTTTGTCTCTCTGTGGTGGATTTGTGTCAACGTGGTGGTTGTGTGCCTGTCTTAATAGTGGTTCTGTGTCAGTGTGGTGGTTCTGTGTCTGTGTGGTGTTGTTGTGTCACGGTGGTGGCTCTGTGTCTCAGTGGTGTATTTGTGTCTTGGAGGTGGATTTGTGCCTTGGTGGTGGTTTGTCCCTCTTGGGTGGTTTTGTGTCGTAATGGTAGTTCTGTGTCTCTTGGTGGTGGGTTTGTGTCTTGGTGGTGGTTTTTTCTCTCTTGTTGGTGGTTCTGTGTCTTGGTGGTGGATTTGTGTCTTGGTGGTGGTTCTGTTTCTCTGTGGAGGTTCTGTGTCTTGGTGGTGTTTTTGTCTCTTGATGGTGGTTCTGTGTCTTGGTGGTGTTTTTGTCTCTTGTTGGTGGTTCTGTGTCTTGGTGGTGTTTTTGTCTCTTGTTGGTGGTTCTGTGTCTTGGTGGTGTTTTTGTCTCTTGATGGTGGTTCTGTGTGGCAGTAGTGTTTTTTCTATTTATGGTGGATTTGTGTCTCTGTAGTGGTTCTGTATCTGTGTGGTGGATTTCTATCTCTGTGGTGGTTTTGTGTCGTAGTGGTGGATCCTTGTATTGGTTGGTTTGTTTTTTTGTGGTGGATTTGTGTCTCGGTGGTGGTGGTTCGACCACCACCAAGAGACACAAAATCGACACTGATTTTGACCTTTCAGGTCAAACAGCTGAAAACAAGTGTGTTTATCTTTGTGTGTGTGAGGTAATGAGGTTAGCCACCTGCTACACTAACAGAGACACTTGAGACAGAAGGTATAACCAAACCAGATGGATGAGAAATGTGAGAGTTGTTTCTGGACTGACGTCCTGCTGGTATATTTGTTATCCTGGTTATCCTCTGGGCTCCTCGGGGCTCTTGGTCTCGTCACCCTGGTGCATTCACAGGCACCTCGGACAGTCCAGGTCCTGAGTTGGAAAGTCCCTCTTCCTATGTTGGTGTGTTCATGAGCTCTAAGTTGTACAGTGGAAACATGGACGCTACAAAGGTTGGTGGTTAACGAAAGCCGGCTTGGTCCGGTTTAGACCTAAAGCTTCTTGGTTAGGGTTAAATCCCTCAGTACATGGACAGTAGGACATTGGAACAGCATTTTGTTAGGTTGCAGGTTTTTGCTGAAATCACTCACATTCCTGTTTTCCCCTCATCAGTCTGTCAGCCCCCATAACAACAAAGCAGAAACAGGATTCTCTCAGTATTCAGACCCTGACCCAGGTTTAGCTGATGCACCTTTAGTAGCGAGTACAGCCTCGCTTTGACCTGACCAGCTTTGTATTGTTATTGATCCAGATTCAGATGCAGACCTATTCCTCAAACAGCTGATCAGTATCACTGACACATTCATCTCTCTCTACTCTCTGTCTGTCTACCTGTCTGTCTGTCTACCTGTCTGTCTCTCTACTGTCTGTCTCTCTACTGTCTGTCTCTACCTGTCTGTCTCTCTACTGTCTGTCTGTCTCTCTACTGTCTGTCTGTCTCTCTACTGTCTGTCTCTACCTGTCTGTCTCTCTACTGTCTGTCTGTGTCTCTACTGTCTGTCTGTCTCTCTAATGTCTGTCTCTACCTGTCTGTCTCTCTACTGTCTGTCTCGCTAATGTCTGTCTGTCTACCTGTCTCTCTCTACCTGTCTGTCTCTACCTGTCTGTCTCTACCGGTCTCTCGCTACCTGTCTCTCTCTACCTGTCTGTCTCTCTACTGTTTGTCTCTACCTGTCTGTCTCTCTACCTGTCTGTCTCTCTACTGTCTGTCTCTACCTGTCTGTCTCTCTACTGTCTGTCTCTCTACTGTCTGTCTCTCTACCTGTCTGTCTCTCTACTGTCTGTCTCTCTACCTGTCTGTCTCTCTACTGTCTGTCTCTCTACTGTCTGCCTGTGTCTCTACTGTCTGTCTGTCTCTCTAATGTCTGTCTCTACCTGTCTGTCTGTCTCTCTAATGTCTGTCTGTCTACCTGTCTGTCTCTACCTGTCTGTCTCTACCTGTCTGTCTCTCTACTGTCTGTCTCTCTACCTTTCTGTCTCTCTACTGTATGTCTCTACCTGTATGTCTCTACCTGTCTGTCTCTCTACTGTCTGTCTCTCTACCTGTCTGTCTCTCTACTGTCTGTCTCTCTACCTGTCTGTCTCTACCTGTCTGTCTCTCTACTGTCTGTCTCTCTACCTGTCTGTCTCTCTACTGTCTGCCTGTGTCTCTACTGTCTGTCTGTCTCTCTAATGTCTGTCTCTACCTGTCTGTCTGTCTCTCTAATGTCTGTCTGTCTACCTGTCTGTCTCTACCTGTCTGTCTCTACCTGTCTGTCTCTACCTGTCTGTCTCTCTACTGTCTGTCTCTCTACTGTCTGCCTGTGTCTCTACTGTCTGTCTGTCTCTCTAATGTCTGTCTCTACCTGTCTGTCTGTCTCTCTAATGTCTGTCTCTCTACCTGTCTGTCTCTACCTGTCTGTCTCTCTACTGTCTGTCTCTCTACTGTCTGCCTGTGTCTCTACTGTCTGTCTGTCTCTCTAATGTCTGTCTCTACCTGTCTGTCTGTCTCTCTAATGTCTGTCTGTCTACCTGTCTGTCTCTACCTGTCTGTCTCTACCTGTCTGTCTCTCTACTGTCTGTCTCTCTACCTTTCTGTCTCTCTACTGTATGTCTCTACCTGTATGTCTCTACCTGTCTGTCTCTCTACTGTCTGTCTCTCTACTGTCTGTCTCTACCTGTCTGTCTCTCTACCTGTCTGTCTCTCCCTGTCTGTCTCTACCTTTCTGTCTCTACCTGTCTGTCTCTCTACTGTCTGTCTCTCTGTCTGTCTCTCTCTACCTGTCTGTCTCTCTACTGTATGTCTCTACCTGTCTGTCTCTCTGTCTGTCTCTCTCTACCTGTCTGTCTCTCTACCTGTCTGTCTCTACCTGTCTGTCTCTCTACTGTCTGTCTCTACCTGTCTGTCTCTACCTGTCTGTCTCTCTACCTGTCTGTCTCTCTACTGTCTGTCTCTACCTGTCTGTCTCTACCTGTCTGTCTCTCTACTGTCTGTCTGTCTCTCTGTCTCTCTACTGTCTGTCTGTCTCTCTAATGTCTGTCTCTACCTGTCTGTCTCTCTACTGTCTGTCTGTCTCTCTGTCTCTCTACTTTCTGTCTCTACCTGTCTGTCTCTCTACTGTCTGTCTGTCTCTCTACTGTCTGTCTCGCTAATGTCTGTCTGTCTACCTGTCTCTCGCTACCTGTCTCTCTCTACCTGTCTGTCTCTCTACTGTTTGTCTCTACCTGTCTGTCTCTCTACCTGTCTGTCTCTCTACTGTCTGTCTCTACCTGTCTGTCTCTCTACTGTCTGTCTCTCTACTGTCTGTATCTACCTCTCTGTCTCTCTACTGTCTGTCTCTCTACTGTCTGTCTGTGTCTCTACTGTCTGTCTGTCTCTCTAATGTCTGTCTCTACCTGTCTGTCTGTCTCTCTAATGTCTGTCTGTCTACCTGTCTGTCTCTACCTGTCTGTCTCTACCTGTCTGTCTCTCTACTGTCTGTCTCTCTACCTTTCTGTCTCTCTACTGTATGTCTCTACCTGTATGTCTCTACCTGTCTGTCTCTCTACTGTTTGTCTCTCTACTGTCTGTATCTACCTGTCTGTCTCTCTACCTGTCTGTCTCTCTACTGTCTGTCTCTCTACCTGTCTGTCTCTACCTGTCTGTCTCTCTACTGTCTGTCTCTCTACCTGTCTGTCTCTACCTGTCTGTCTCTCTACTGTCTGTCTCTCTACCTGTCTGTCTCTACCTGTCTGTCTCTCTACTGTCTGTCTCTCTACTGTCTGCCTGTGTCTCTACTGTCTGTCTGTCTCTCTAATGTCTGTCTCTACCTGTCTGTCTGTCTCTCTAATGTCTGTCTGTCTACCTGTCTGTCTCTACCTGTCTGTCTCTACCTGTCTGTCTCTCTACTGTCTGTCTCTCTACCTTTCAACCTCTCTACTGTATGTCTCTACCTGTATGTCTCTACCTGTCTGTCTCTACCTGTCTGTCTCTCCCTGTCTGTCTCTCTACTGTCTGTCTCTCTGTCTGTCTCTCTCTACCTGTCTGTCTCTCTACTGTCTGTCTCTACCTGTCTGTCTCTCTACTGTATGTCTCTACCTGTCTGTCTCTCTGTCTGTCTCTCTCTACCTGTCTGTCTCTCTACCTGTCTGTCTCTCTACCTGTCTGTCTCTCTACCTGTCTGTCTCTCTACTGTCTGTCTCTACCTGTCTGTCTCTACCTGTCTGTCTCTCTACCTGTCTGTCTCTCTACTGTCTGTCTCTACCTGTCTGTCTCTCTACCTGTCTGTCTCTCTACCTGTCTGTCTCTACCTGTCTGTCTCTCTACCTGTCTGTCTCTCTACTGTCTGTCTCTACCTGTCTGTCTCTCTACTTGTCTGTGTGCAGGAGGAGCAGAACCGAGGGAAGCCTAACTGGGAGCACCTGAACGAGGACCTTCACGTCCTCATCACGGTGGAAGAAGCTCAGAATCGAGCCGAGATCAAACTCAAACGAGCGGTGGAGGAAGTCACCAAGCTGTTGGTGCCCGCAGTGAGTCACCTGACCTCTGATGTGTAGATCTATTTAGATATTAGGGCTGTCCCCGACTAAGGATTCACACAGTCGAATCAGAATTGTAAAGTCTTGCCTACAGTCGACTGATAGTCCAGTCAGTGAGTGTTGACTGTGGGGGGGCAGAGCTGCTGCAGTCTATATTCTAACATTTACAGATAAACTGACTGATTGTTGACCCTTTTCTCTCTGTCGCCTGCCATTCTCCAGTCTTGTGCAGAGTCTTGCGTGCATGCCGTGAGGCCTAAAACTGCACGTACGTCGCGGTTCCTCACGGGTCTATTTTTCATCTAATATTCTTCGTGTGGTTCATCAATGGTGATAAATGATCCGAACGTCCCGCGAGGTGCGGACAACTCGGAACAACAGTGGTGAAGCTACAACACAGACTGCAGGGCTACACTCGCATACCCACTACCCTTCTGCCCGCTGACCCGCCTTCTTTAAGGGTCATTTTGGATTCATTCACGCACTTGAAAAACATTTATTGAGCAAGCACAACCATTTGGAACGTCCTGAAAAGAAAGAAACTACTGGTGTACTGAGCAACAGACGTCCAAAGAAAACAACAGTAGCTGATGACGGAAATGTAAATGCTCTGTACTTGTATAGCGACTTTCTAGTCTTTTCACCAGTCACACACATTCATACACTGAGCCTAAGTGCTCAAACGGAAACTAACATTCACACTCACTCACACACTGGCGGAACAGCCACCAGGGGCAATTCTTGCCCAAGGACACTTCAACATGCAACCAGGGATTGAACCGCTGACCTTCCGATTAACGGCCAACCCGCTCTACCTCCTGAGCCACAGCCGCCCCTACAATATGGTGAGAGCTGTGAAGAAAACCCCCAAAACATCGGGAAGTGACATCAGCAACGCCCTCCACAGTGCAGAGTGAAGGTATCACAATCCACTGCTGGAAGAAGACTCAGAGAGCAGAAACATAGAGGCCGCACCACAAGATGCAAACCGCTCATCAGCAGGAAGAATCGCAAGGCCAGATTGAAATCTGTACAGAGATGAGCCGCAAAAGTCTGATGGACTGATGAGAACAAGATTAATCTCTAGCAACGTGTGGAGAAAGAAAGGAACTGCTTATGATCTCATTAATATTTATTGATGATAGAACTGATGATGGTCGCAGCAGAATGAATTCAGAAGTGGACAGAAACATTTTGCCGAAACAAAGGACTTCATCAGGGGGAAAAGTGGAAGGTTTTAGACTGGCCAAGTCAATCAGCTGACCTTAACCCAGCATTCATTTCACCTCCTTAAGAGGAGACTGAAGGGAGAAACAAGAAGTGAAAGAAGCTGCGGTAAAAGCCTGGAACAGCATCACAAATGAAGAATGCAACAGTTTGGTGATGTGGATGGGTCGCAGGCTGGAGGCACATATTGCAAGCAAGGGTTCTGCCACCAAATAGTAAATGTTATTTACTTTAAGATTATTTGTTCCATTACTTTTGCTCACCTAAGAATACTGTGGTCTAATACAAAGGGTGGTTTGTCCTGAGTTGTTTAACACATCTAGATGTGAATACCAGGAAATGAGAGCTGAAATTCTGAACTCTTGTCTCATACTCGTCTTTTGATCTTAAACCCAAATGTCTTCAGAGACAAACAAAAACAAAGGAATTAGCCTTACCGTTCTAATACTTTTGGAGGAGACTGTATCAGGATTATCAGCATGAGGAGTGTGTTCCTGTTACCAACACCGCTAGATTTTCTAAAATCTTTTTCATCACCTCCAAGTTGTCATGTTAATGCAACATTACAACATTGGTCATTTAACATTCCACTGTTTTGTATTTACTGTTTACTTAACCCCTCAACCCCTGAATTTATTTGCAATTATATAAAAAAAATAATGATGTGTGTTTCTGCTTCCAAGTTGATGCTAAATTAAGTTGAGATTGTTAATTTGTCTATAGCACATAGAATAGACATAAATTTAGGTATGATGCAAATTAGCGACAAACAGGCATTTACGGTAGAAAAGTTTACAAAATGGTAAAATTAATAAAACATTTTCCCATCTCAGGTATGTAGATTTTATTCATGTCACAAAGTTATCAGAACTTCTAAACTTTAATTTACAAACAACAACAGCAAGAAACAAAACGCTCTCCCACTCCCTAACAAAATGTTCTTTCAGCCTCTTACAGGTAAATAGGTAGAAATGACAAGATAATGAACTACAGACTAAAAAGAGAGGATTTAACACTCTCCTACTTGCTCCAACTCTGTCTGTTTAACGCTCTCCTTGTTTCTCCAGTGCATAGTGAACAAACAAACAAACTATAATACCGTAAAACTTTGAATAATAGCCCGGGCTTTTATTTGCTAAAATCACTGAATTGACCCTGCCTTTATTTGGGACAGGCGTCCATATGGGACAGGCCTTTAATTCTTTTTGCACAAAACTGAAACTACTATGAAACAGTTTCTTTATTTCAAACAGAATAATACTTATGTAAAAATTATCTAGTATTATCAAATACACGTCGTTCATTTGATGTATCTCCGACAGACGGCTTATGGCTTTTAGTTTGAAGGCAGCAACCTCACAAGGATGAGAGAAGTTAGCAGACAGAGAGCGACAGACTTCACACGACAGGATTCACTACTTGGATAAATCTTTCTGAAAAGCTGTGTTGATTCTTTTGATGGGTGGACCCTTACAGACTAAAGGAAGATAAATAATCAAGGAACGGACACATTTGGACTGAACGGGCGCTTCAAAGTTAACGTGAGTCAGCACTTTTTCCCCCTTTTCCTCTCCTGTAGCCATGCAGGTTACACCGGTAAATCTAGAGGAATTAGACAAAATGTGTTCCCGCACCAGGCGGCTATTTGAAGTTTTACGGTATGTAAATGAACAGCTCTGGAGACAGGGTGGATGATTTAAAGTGTTGCTTAATGTGCTCATTGGGAGATTGTTTAGCAGATACATTAAACATTTAGTGTATGCATGAGTCACTTGGGCAGGGTTTCTCAGACTTTACTGGCCTGCTTTTAGATTTCAAAGTTCTCAGGATACAAGCAATTACTGAGCTTTCATCTGTCTTGTGAAACTGAGTCGTGTAAAATGACCATGTCCCTTGAAGTGTCTTTGCATCAAATAGTCTTACTTGTCCTTGTTTTTGTTGAGGCACAGGTGAACGGTGCACTTTGCACATTTGATTACAGTCTGGCCCTTGCAATGTGGGAGTCTGCAGCGTTGTCGCTCACTTTCAACCACTGGCCAGTGACCCACAGCATCTGAACGGACTTCCATTTGACTGCTCTTATTTCAACATTGTCAACAACCTGTTGCTCTTCAAGTGTGCCTTTCCCTTCTTCTTCATTTCTGTGTCTGCACTGAAACTGCACCCTTGTAGTCGATTCTGCCGTACAGTCCCAACAGCTGGTATCCCATTGTTTGCAAGAGCAACAAACAAATCCAAGGAGTAAAACCAGTTGTCAAAGTACAGCCGATGATTGACAGCCCCATGGATAACTTGTGCAAGCTTTAGCGCAATGTTTCCACTTGCCCCAATGTCTGGTAGTCCTTTGGTGTCACAAAGCACAAAGATCTTGTATCCCCATTTGTATGGCTTCTTTGGGATATATTGCTTCAGACTTGAATGGCACCATTTGTTGTAGACAACATTTGGTCTTGAGGGAGAGCCTGAAATTTGGGGAGGAGTGAATCAATAAGTGACCTGACTTTGAAAAGTCTATCACTGTTGTCGGGCGCCATGTTGTCATTGAAATGAATGAAATGTTTTATTTCTTCCCATCTGTCTCGAGACATTACATCAGCCACATGCGGTACTCGACATGCACTGGACCAGTACATTCTTGATCTCGGTAAATGGAAACCACTCATGTACACTACAGTGCCAATAAACTGCTCCAGTTCATTATGATCCAATTTGAGGGCACCATTTGGATCTTGTTGTGTGCAATAAAGATTGCTTTGTTCCACAATGGTTTTCAAAAGATCAGCATCAAAAAAGTCTCTGAAGTATTGAATGGGCAAGCTGATTGCATCAGCATATGGAAGAGCACCTTGCCAAATTGGAATATCTTTTGCAGACTTCTTTTGCTTCACTGTCTTCCATACTACCTTTTCTCTTTTTCTTTTTGTAGTGGCAGCTGATTTCCCTCTTGCAGCAGTAGCACTGGTGCTAGGATGTACATCACGACTTCCATCCGAGTCTTCGTCATTGCTGCTGTTGTCAATACTCTTACCATGGCTGCTTTCATCACCTGGTGTAGGAGTGTAGTCTTCATCACTATCCCCACTGTCACTGAGACAGGTGTCATCACTTTCGACTGGTGGAATCCTGATTTGAAGTCTGCGTGGTCGCTTCCCATAGAACGTTGATGCATTCATTATAACAAATGGCAGGATTGCTTTTATATCCTTACATGCTATTTTTGTAATTATTAAATAAATTATCTGCCTAAAGAAAATGCATGTGAGTGCTGAAAGCCATCTAAATGCAGCATTATTATACGTAGCCATTATAGCCGAATCAAGCCGTTATGGACGAATGTCACGAATTCGCTACAAACAAGTCAAATCAGTCAGACTGTAACTGTTGTTATAGTCTGACTGCTGTTACAGTCTGGCTGTTGTTACAAGTCCTTTGTCTGATGCAATAAGGAGGTCGTTAGTAATTTTCACCAGTGCTGTCTCTGTGCTATGATGAGCTCTAAATCCTGACTGAAAATCCTCAAATAAACTATTGCTCTGTAGAAAGTCACACAGCTGTTTAGCAACTGCTTTCTCCAGAACCTTAGAGAGAAATGGAAGGTTAGATATAGGTCTATAGTTGGCTAAAACATCCGGATCAAGTTTGGGCTTTTTCAGAAGAGGTTTAATTACAGCTACTTTAAAGTACTGTGGTACATAGCCTGTTGATAGAGATAGATTGATCATATCTAGTATAGAGGTGCTGACTAAGGGTAAAACATCTTTAAG